CTTCTCCATGTGCTCTGTTCTTATGGGCTTGAGTTCTGTTTAGGGGGACATAAACTATCCGTGGGTCATTTGACACAGAAGTGAACATCAAAGACCACTGTCAAAGGGAGAAAAGAATTGAGGTTGCTTCTATAGCTATGGGGAGTTGGTGTTCAGACGGTCCCACAGGCTGGAGTTACACGTGCTTGCTAGGAGAGTGGAGGCTGTTTTAGTAAAGGCTCGTCTTCTTCATGATGCGCAGGAACTCTTGCTCACTGACTTCACCGTCACCGTCTCGATCCGCCTCATCAATCATTTCCTGCAGTTCCTCATCAGTGAGGTTCTCGCCCAACTCCTTGGCCACGCATTTCAGATTTTTGAAAGAGATCTTGCCAGTTTCATCGTCATCAAAGAGCTTGAAAGCTTTCAGGATTTCTTCTTTGGTATCTTTCTCAGACATCTTCTTAGTCATCACCGTCAAAAAGTCATTGAAGTCCATTTTTCCTGTACCTTCCTTATCAATCTCAGTGATCATTTTCTTGATCTCTTCTTTCCTGGGCTCAAAGCCCAGGGCCCGCATTGCCACCTTAAGCTCTTTGACATCAATGGTGCCAGTCCCATCTGTATCAAAGAGATCAAAAGCTTCACGGATTTCCTGTTTCTGCTCATCATTGATGTCAGGCTTGGAGCTCATCTGCTTTCGTTGGCTTGAAATTGATGCCACGCTAGCCTTCTTAAAGCTGGAAGCCATAGCTGACGGACTCTATGGACTGTTGTTACGACAACGAACGTACACATTTACTCTCTTCCTCCAATCTTGATGCTACATTTTTCTTCATATAATCCAGCTTCTCAGATTATTTGCTCAGTATATAGATTGAATAAGCATGGTGAAAGAATGTAACCCTGGTCATACACCTGTCCTAATTTTACACCATTTGGTGTTTCTTTGTTCTGTTTGAACAACTGCCTCTTAGTCTATGTACAGGTTCCTCACGAGCACAATTAAGTGTTCTAGAATACTCATACTTTGCAATTTTGTCCATAGCTTGTCATGATCCACACAATTGAAAGCCTTTGCATAGTCAATAAAGCACAGGTAAACATCTTTCTGGTATTATCTGCTTTTAGTCAAGATTCATCTGATGTCAGTCAGAAATGATATCCCCATTTCACATCCTTCTCTGAATCTGACTTGAACCTCTGGAAATTCTCTGTCAATGTATGGTTTTAGCTGTTTTTGTATTACTTTTAGTAAAACTTTACTCACATAGTGTATCAATGATATTGTCCAATGATTTCTGCATTCCGTTGGGTCACCTCTCTTTGGAATGGATACAAATATGGATCTCCTCCAGCCAGTTGGCCAGGTAGAGTTGTCTTCCAAATTTCTTAACATAGGTGAGTGAGGGCCTCCAGTGCTGCACTGTTTGTTGACAGACTTCAATTTGTATTCCATCAATTCCTGAAGCCTTGTTCTTTGCCAATTCCATCAATGCACCTTGGACTTCTTCCTTCAGTACCATTGGCTCTTGATCATATGGTACCTTATTAAGTGGTTGAACATCAACCATTACTTTTGGTACAGTTACTCTGTGTATTCCTTCCATTTTCTTTTGATGCTTTCTACATCATTCAATAATTTGCCCATAGAACCCTTTAATACCACAAATCGAGGTTTGAATTTTTTCTTCAGTTTTCTCAGCTTGAGAAATGCTGAGCATATTCTTCCTTTTTGGTTTTCTAACTCCAGGTCTTTGCACATTTGTTGTAATATTTGACTTTGTCTTCTTAAGCACACCTTTGAAATGTTCTGTTCAGCTCTTGTACCTCTTCACGTCTTCCATTTGCTTTAGCATCACTACACTGGAGAATTAAGTCTCCTCTGACATCCATTTTGATCATTTCCTTCTTTCTTGTCTTCTTAATGACCTTTTGCTTTCTTTCTGTATGATGTTCTTGATGGCATCCCACAACTCTTCTGGTCTTCAGTTTTTAGTGTCTAATGCATCAAATATGTTCTTCAGATGATCTCTAAATTCAGATGGGATATATTCAAGGTCATATTTTGGCTCTTGTGGACTTGTTTTCATTTTTTTTAAGCTTCAACCTGAATTTGCAGATGAGCAATTGATAAGTCTGTTCCACAGTTTGCCCTTTGCCTAGTGTTGGCTGATGACATGGAGCTTTTCCACTGTCTCTTTCCACAGAGGTAGTCAATTTGATTTCTGTGTTTTCTCTCTGGTGAGATCCATGTGTATAGTCATCTTTTATGTTGTTTAAAACAGGTATTTGCAATGAAGAAGTCATTTGTCTTGCAAAATTTTATCATGCAATCTCCAGCATTGTTTTTTTATCACCAAGGCCATATTTTCCAACTACTGATCCTTTCTCTTTGTTTCCAACCTTTGCATTCCAATCACCAGAAATTATCAATTCATCTTGGTTGCAGGTTTGTTTAATTTCAGATTGACGAAACTCTTAGAATTCTTCAATTTCATCATCTCTAGCTTTAGTGGTTGATACATAAATTTGAATAATAGTGGTATTAACTGGTCTTCCTTGTTGTTGTTGTTAAGTGCTGTCAAGTTGGTTCCGATCCATAGCGACCCTGAACAGGGTTTCCGAGGCTGTAAATCTTTACAGGAGCAGAGAACCTCCTTATTTTCCCACAGAGCAGCTGGTAGTTTCAAACTGCTGACCTTGCGGTTCACAGCCCTATTCGTAACCACTATGCTACCAGAGCTCTTTGTAGGTGTGTGGATATTATCCTATCACAGACAGTGTTGCACTTTATGACAGATTTTGATATGTTCTTTTTGATGACGAATGCAACACCATTTCTCTTCAATTTGTCATTCCCAGCATAGTAAATCATGTGATTGTCAGATTAAAAATGGCCAATACCAGTCCATTTCAGCTCACAAATGCCTAGGATATCAATGTTTATGTCTTCCATTTAATTTTTGACAAGTTCCAATTTTCCTAGATTCATACTTTGTACATTCCATGTTCTGATCATTAATGTTTACATCCATTTCTCTTTATATTGAGTTGTGCCTCATCAGCAAATGAAGATCCTGAGGGCATTTCTCCATTCACATCAGCACGGTCAACTGTGGTTTGAGGAGGCAATTCTTCTCCAGCCACATTTTGAGTGCCTTCCAACCAGAGGGGCTCATCTTCTGGCACTGTATTTGACATTATTCTGGTGCCCTTCATAATTTTTCAATATTCAGTAATCTGCTACTGACAGTGTTTCACTGCTATTCATAAGGTTTTCAGTGATTAAATATTTGGAAATAGTCTGCCTCTCCTTCTCCCTAGTCTGTCTTTGTCTGGAAGCGCATCTGAAACCTGTCCACCATGGGTGATCCTGCTGGTATTTAAAATACCCATGGAATAACTTCCAGAATCACAGCAACACACAAGCCACCACAATATGACAAACTGACAGATGAATGGTGGACAGATCAGAATGGCACCTAGCATATAAGTGCTAAAAAAAAGTTAAGTCATTTTTTTATTATGGGTGGTACTACCTGTTAAGATCAAATTACTCTGCTCTGATACTGTGTTTGCAAAGCAAAAATTAAAATGTAATTAAAGTCTCCTACAGTGGTTAGGAATCTGTCTGTGAACCTTAAGGTCAGCAGTTCGAAACTACCAGCTGTTCCCCGGGAGAAAGATGAGGCTTTCTGCTCCCGTAAAAATTTACAGCCTCGGAAACCCTGTACAGGGTCGCTATGGGTCAGAACCGATTTAAAGGCACTTAACAACAACAACAACAACAACAACAATAGAGGAGACCTGGTGTGGCATTGCATGATAATGCACTTGATTCCAAGGTCAGTTTGAACCACAAGGTTGGTAGTCCGAACTCACCAGCTGCTCCCCAGAAACCATACAGGGTTGCTATGAGTTGGAACCATCTCAATGGCATTTAACAACAACGACTAGTGAAGGAATCCTGGTGGCACAGTGGGTTATGTGTTGGGCTGCTAATGGAAAGGATGGTGGTTCAAAACCACCAGCCAGTCTGTGGGAGAAAGGAGAGCCTGTCTACTTCCATAAAGACTGACAGCCTTGGAAACCCTAGGGGACAGTTCTACTCCATTCTATAGGGTCAGTATGAGCCAGAATTGACGGGACAGCAGTGGGGATAGAGAAGTAAGCCTGGCTGGTATGGGAATTCTTGTTTGCTCAGAAAATGTCTGATTAAACATTAACATGTTGGTATATTATGAATTTAAGTCATTCCTGTGAGCCTGGTCCTCTCTTGGTCTACTGATAAAAATTGAATGTCAACATACATGAAGTGATGGACCAAAGGGCACACAGCAGCCTCCTCAGTGAGATAGTATTGCTGTCTGAGAGCCTATTAGAATGGCTAGCCAGCCTCCTCTAGGAGATTTCACTTCTGTCACTTCCTTGATCTGCTGAAAACAGCAGACAGCAAAGCAACAGTTAAGAGATAGGGCTCAAGCTCAAAGCACAGTCTCTGCAATGATCTCTTGGTTGAGGGAGAAATATCCTTTTGCTTTTCTTTTTTGAAAGTTTTTATTGTGAATTGAGTGAAGGTTAATAGAGAAGACCATCAATTTTACATTAAACAAATTATACTCTTTGTTTCATCTCAATGATTGCAATCCCCTCCATATAACAACAGTTATCCCACTTCCTTCCTGTGGGTCTTATTTGCACTCCACCCTTCTTCCCATCCCTTCTCAACTTTGTCTTTAGGTAAATGGTGCCCTTTTGATCTATAATGGTTGACCACCCCATGGTGAGTATATCCTATTAGTATTATTGTCCCCACTGTATACCTGTCTACTGCTTGGCTGAAAATTGAAAGAAATACCCTCTTGATGGAGCCCATTGGCTCCTCAGGTAGGGCTGCACCTACCTGCTCTGCACTGAAGATATTATCCATTTGTTACCATGGATTAGTTCTTCTTGCTCTGTGAGTTGCTCTAGAAGTTTCCTTTTTTCTAGGAGCAGGATATCGTTTTGGGTGGTGATCTGGTCCTGGAATGCCTTCTCCTGTAGATAAGAAAGTCCCCTAAAGACCACAGCTGAAGAACAAATGATAGATTTGAGAGCATCAGCTTGTTTCTAAACTCTGATGGTAAACCTCACTAGTTGGCTATGTTTTGCTCCTTTCCTCTAGTCTCTTTTCATATATTTGCCGACTATTCACATATAGCTAGACAGTTTTGTTCATTTTGGTTATTTTATGCCATTAATTTTGTTTAGAGCCCTGAAGGACTGGTGGTCCAATGGTTAAGCAAGCACTCCATTGCCAACTGAAAGGTTGATGGTTTAAACTCACCAATGTCTCTGTAGGAGAAAGACCTGGCGATCTGCTTCTGTGTGAATTACAGCCTAGAAAATCCTATGACGCAATTCAAGGGCAGCACCAAATAACAACATTTTGTGTGGACATTTCATTATGTTGGGGGGTTAACATAGAAAAACACAGTTGACCTTTGAACAACACAAGTTTGAACTGCACACGTCCACTTAGACACAATCATTTTTCTTATTACCACTGCAGTGAGTTTAAGTGTTGGGAATATCCGGTTAACATGCCACATGATACTAATCATCTCCACGTGAGCAGTTCTTGAGAGAGACAGAGATATATGGATACTTGCAACACGCAGGTCACTGCAGTTAAGGAGAAAAAATCGGAATGTAAGTGGACCTACACAGTTCAAACCATGTTATTCAAGGGTCAACTGTATCTTCTATGCAACTTCTAATAAGGTTCTAATGCTCTTATTTGTAATTAATTTTACAGGTATCAAACCAACAACAAATAAAATGAATTCTCTGAAACTTCATATTGAATATTGAATTTTTTTTCATGTCCATCTACTTTGTAGTTATATTATTTTTAAAGCAACAGGGGGCAGTTTGGGAATCTAGTCACCTCACTTGGTGGTGTCAGGATCACAGCTGGTGGGGCAAGTCAAGCATGTTAGTCAGGTGCCAAGGATATTCTAGCAGTGATGATGCTGAAATGATTTCTAGCCTGACACTATGTTTCATTTTCTACCAGTGATTTTCCCACAAAGCAAGATTGAGTGAAGCTATAGCTAAAATGATAAAGGGATGAGTTTTGTGAAAAGCAATCCAACAACAAACAAAAAACACCAACCATTTTGTATATAGAAACAGTACAAATAATAGTGTAATACAAATAATAGTGTAAAAACTGTACAAGCAATAGTGTAAAATCCCTCTTGGTGAAGGAATTTGAAGCTCAAAAATGTAGAACTGCCATTCTTACATCACCAATGATCTTTCATAGTCACTGGTACCATCAAAGTCCCATCAGCTTTTTGCATCTATTCTTTACCTGCCAATGGTGGGAGTACGCAGGGATGGGAGACCAACAATATTCTGGTACACAGGAGGATCAGAAGGGGACCTTTCTTTCTTTCTTTTAAATATGGCATTAACAGGAATCATTCAGAAAATATTTCCTTTGTGAAAGGGAAATTATATCATGTCCTACAACAAACCATCTACAATTTAACTCTCTTCATCCAGGACCCTTCAATGTCTAGCAATACTCTTGGCTACTATTATGTAAATATATTTATGGCAAAGATTGACAGTAATTATATCCTATGTAGTTATAACTGGATAAGAAAGAATGTTCTGCTCTTCCTCTTCTTGTAAGTGGCCTGAGGTTATCTCACAAAATGGTTCGCTACTCACTTGACCCAGAAAACTGTACAAAATCATGCCAACCAAGAGGTTCAAATCTCCAGGTCCATTTTAAGAACACCTGTGAAACTTCCCAGGACATCAAGGGTATGCATATATGAAAAGCCACCAAGTATCTGAAAGATGTCACTTTGCAGAAGCAATGTATACCATTCTGACGTTACAATGGTGGCCCTGGATATAAGGTTAGTGGCCCCGAAAGAGTGAATTTTTGCTGTACATGCTTAAAAATGCAGAGAGCAATGCTGAACTTAAGTTTTTAGATGTGGATTCTCTGGTTATTGAACAGATCCAGGTCAACCAAATTCCAAGATGCACCACTGAACTTACAGAGTTCAGAGTTGGATCAACCCCCTACAAAAGTTCCCCTACCACATTGCTGATGATCCTCACTAAAAAGGAGTAGATTGTTCCTTAACCAGAAGAGGAAGTTGCACAGAAGAAACTGGAGAAGCAAAAATTTATGGCTTGGGAGTAAATTAAGCTTAAAATAAAAGTTTTTAAAAAAGGATGTTTTTTTAAAAAGCTATAGACACTCTATCCTTCAGAAATACAATCTTTTTTGAACCGAAAAATCAAGACACCTGTGTAGAGAATAGGATAAAAATGTGGTTTGGATGATCACAGCAATTAGAGGGCTCAAGTAATTTGCTACATGAAGGTTTTAAAAGTAGCTATATAAAGAGAGGGAGTCCTGGTGTGGCGCTGTGGGTTAATGTGCTGGACTGCAAAGTTGGTTTGAACTGCAAGGGTGGCAGTTTAAGCTGCATCTTGGAAACCCTTATACATGGTCGCTATGGGTCAGAACCAACTCGATGACACTAAATACATAACACACACATACACATGTAAAGAGAAAGTGAGGAAATGAAGTCAAAAGAACTGCCATTTTTTTTGGAGATTTAGTGCTTAAAAAGTGAGACCAGCTTTTTTATGCTCGGGGATCTGGTCTAGGGTCCCCAGACATGTACTTACTTATTTTGTTGTCAGTTTCAATCCACAGCAACCCTGTATAGGGTCTCTGAGGAGCAGCTGGTGAGCTTGAACTGCTGACCTTGCAGTTCAAACCGACTTTGCAGTCCAGTGCATTAACCCACACCAGGATGCCTTACTTACTACTGTGGCATTAAAAGCTCTGCATCACTCTTCTCTAGTATAAGAATTACTAATTCACAATTTATCTTGTGAATTACTATGCACCCACTCATTACCATGCTTTAAGAGATTATATGCCAAAAGAAGGGAAAGAATATTTGTTAAAATTTATGTGTGCCAAGAACCACTTTTGGCATTTTATATTTTCATACCTACAAGAGCATTGTGAGGTGGGAAATATTTTACCTATGAGAAAATGATATGCAGAGACTTGTCCAGGATCACAGAACTATTAAGTAGCAGGGCTAGAATTTGAATGTAAGTCTATCGAAAGTCAAAACCAAGGAGCTCTGGTAGCGTAGTGGTTATGAATCAGGCTGCAAACCGCAAGGTCAGAAGTTCGAAACTACCAGCTGTTCCACTGGAGAAAGATAAGGCTTTCTGTTCCCATAAAGATTTACAGCCTTGGAAACTCTGTACGGGGTCACTATGAGTCAAAACCGACTCCACGGCACATATAACAACAACAACAACAAAGTAAAAACCCAGAGTTACCTTCAAGGGCAGTGAGCAAAAGATCCAGTAACTCTTTCTTCCTGTCATTAAGTGCTGTGGAGTCAGTTCTGACTCATAGTGACCCTGTATAGGGTTTCTGAGGAGCAGATGGTGGGTTTGAACAGCCGACCTTGTGCTTAGCAGTGCAAGGATTATCAACCAGGACCCTTGTTGTTCTTAAGTGACATCAAGTCAGTTTTGACTCATTGTGACCCCTGGGCATATTATCAGGAGGGACCAGTCTCTGGAGAAGGATATCATGTTTGGTAATGTGGAGGGGTCAGAGAAAAAGAGGAAGACCCCAGCAACATGGATTGGCAAAGTGGCAGCATCAATGGGCTCAAGTGTGGCAACAATTGTGAGGTTGGCTCAGAACTGGGCAGTGTTTTGTTCTGTTGTGCACAGGGTCGCTATGAGTCGGTACCAACTTGATGGCACGTAACAACAACAACAACAACATAGTGTTTCCAAGGAGGGCCCTTACCCTCTGCTTATTTATGATCTCTAGTATATTTCATGGAGACCTGTGATTCTTAAGACGATTCTTTTTGATCCTAATTTTTCTAATTTTAATTTTAGAACTGTATTCACAACAAGGTTCATAAGTGATGTAAAATCTTTTGAGATAAATAAGGTGCTGATTTCCCCCCATACTCATTAGTTTACTGAAATAGATTCAAGTTTATTCATTTGAGTGATGTTTTTTTAACTCAGGTATGACATTATAGGAAAAGCACTAGACCACAAGGTTGGTTTGAATCACAAGGTTGGTGGTTCAAACTCACCAGCCACTCCTTGAAAACTCTATACAAGGTCACTATGAGTCACAATTGACTTGATGACACATAACAACAACAACATAGTCTCTCTTGGTGAATGTTCCATGTGAACTTGAAAAAAATGTATTCTGTTGTTATTGAGTGGTAGTTGTTAAGTGTTATCAAGTCATTTCTGACTCATAATGAATCCATGTGACTGAGGAAAACATGTGCCATAGTGTCTTTCTGTGGTTGTGATCTTAGAGGACTAGACCACCAGGTCTAGTTTCCTAGGGATGCTGTAACAAATCACCACAAACTTGGTGGCTTAAGACAACAGAAATTTATTCGCTCACAGTTCTGGAGATTAAAATCTGAAATCAAGATGTCTGCAGGGTTGGTTCCTCTGGAGACTCTGAGGGAAGATCTGTTCCATGCTTAACTCCTAAATTCTGGTGGTTACTGGCATTCCTTGATTTGTAGTTGCCTTACTCCAATCACTTCCTCCATTGTTACATGACCTTTTCCCTGTGTATGTGTGTCTGTGTGTATGTCTTCTTCTAAGGACATCATTCATATTGGATTTTAGGGCCCTCCTTAATCTGGCATGACCTTATCTTAACTAATTATTCCTCCAAACACCCTATTTCAAAATAAGGTCATATTCTGAAGTTCTGGGTAGACATGAGTTTGGGGAAACACTATTTAGCACAGTACGGTATGGAAGAAAGAAAGTGCCTGCTGAAAGCAGAAGGCCGTTTTTTCATGAAAGCCTAGAAGTGGAAGGCAGATCATAGAAGAAGGAAGTGATAATACAAAAGAAAGTTGGTGATGTTTCTGGTGGGCCTATGAATCAAAATGCTGTTTTTTTCTATATACTTTCTATATTTTGCTCTAGGTTTTAGCCTAAACTGGACCTGAGTCTCCAGAATAAGTTTGATGATTTAGTGACAAAATAAAAGGATACTGCACCAATCCAACCTAGTTTTGCTCTGTCACTGTAGAGTATTAAGAGGATTTATTAAAACTAAGAATACAATGCTGGTGATGCAACTGTTAAAATCCTCAAATGCTTTTTTATATATAATCTAGGGAATCTCAGGAGTCCTGGTGTGGAGCTGTAGGATAAGCACTGGACTGTGAACTACAAGGACAGCAATTCAAACCCACAAGCTGCTCTTTAGAAACTCTATACAGGGTAACTATGAGTCAAAACTGACTTGAAGACACTTAACAACAGGGAATCTCAACCTGGAGTCCAATGATGTTCCACATACTGAGTGAAATAATTTGAACTGCCTTAGTTTCCTGGTAGTGCAATAAAAAGTTTGTTGGATATTGGAGTGAGTATTTTGGGGTGAGAAAAGAGTTTTCAAAAATTTTGAAAAGGGTTGGGGATCCCAAGCAGTGAAAAAACAAAAACAACTGGTCTAATCAGTTACGCTTTATTTCTAATTGATAGAGTTTAAGGAGTCCTGGTGTGGTGCTGTGGGTTAATGCACCAGACTGCAAAGTCAGTTTGAATTGCAAGGTTGGTGGTTTAAGTTCACCAGTTGCTCCTTGGAAACCCTATAGAGGGTTGCTATGGGTCAGAACCAACTCAATGGCACTTAACAACAACAACAACAAAGGCTCTCAAGCTTATTCAGCATTTAATTCCATTCTTCAGTCCTGTTTCTTTTCTATCCATATCCCAGTGAATTAGTTACAAGGGCAATAAGACAAACCTAAGAAACTATAGCTATTTAGAAAAAAAGTTTGAAGGCACCAGTCAGAGATTGGTAAAGGAATAAGGATCACATGTTTTTACTGCCATTGAAAACAAACAGATGTTTGTGGCAAATTGAAGGCTATCCACAGCAGGAATGAGTTATTGCGGGTGGTTTGAAAGTCTCTGTTAAGGAGTGTTTCAGAATACACATTATCCTTTGAAGGATGGATACTGATCATGAGATGGCATGTCCCCTGTGGTTTAGCATCTCTGGGAACCTGACGGACTTGTTGGCAAGACTTAAATACTCACATTGAGATAAGGTACAAAGAAAAGAAATGTGGACAATGAAGAGCCAAACATAAATTTTAAAATGAGGCATTCTCTAAGCGACCATCCGCCAGCATTTTCCACCTTTTGTTTCTCTCACCTTTTCCATTTGTTGTTGCAATGCTTCAGTGTCATTTTCAAGTTGCTTAATTCTCTCATCTCGTAGATGTACTTCATGAACTAAAAGATCCTTGACTTTGCGAAGCTTGGCTTTCTGGTGGTGATGTTTCTCATTATAGTTTCTATAAAAGTAAATGTGGGGAAAAAAAAAAAGTAAATGTGAGTATGAATAGTACACCTGAAATTTACTTTGCTTCCTCAATTTGCATCTTTCTTGGGTTTCCTCTTCTTGCTTAAAAGTCAGGGGTCTGCTATGACATGTGGATATATGTCCTGTTTCCTATCTGCTAGTTTTATTGCTCCATACTCGAAGGAATGGATCAAGCATAAAATAACAGCAGTCTAAGTCATCTAAAATGTGACCCTACAGAACACAGAAATTATTGAACGATATCATTAATAGCACACACAAATAAAATTTGCTGAAAATAATTAGAAAGTAGTTGCAGCAGTACATCAATAGGGAGCTGCCAGAAATTCAAGCACTATTCAGAAGAGGATATTAAATGAAGCATATCATTGCTGATGTCAGATGGATCTTGGTTGAAAGCAGACAATACCAGAAAGATGTTTACTTGTGTTTTATTAACTATGCAAAGGTATTTGGCTTTGTGGATCATAACACATTATAGATAACATTGTGAAGAATGGGAATTCCAGACATTTCATTGTGTTTATGACAAACCTGTACATAGACTAAGAGGCAGGTATTAGAATAGACCAAGGGGATACTGTATGGTTCAAAATTAGCAAAGATGTGTGTCAGGGTTGTATCCTTTCACCGTATTTATTTAATATGTGTACTGAGCAAATAATCCAAGAAGCTAGACTAGATAAAGAATAACTCAGCTTCAGGATTAGAGAAAGTCTCATTAATAACCTGTGATATGCAGATGACACAATCTTGCTTGCTGAAAGTGAAGAAGATTTGAAACATTTACTGATGAAGATCAAAGAATACAGCCTTCAGTATGGATAACAATTCAATGTAAAGAAAACAAAATCCCCACAACTGGACCGATAAACAATATCATGATAAATGGAAAAAAGATAGGATTTCATTTTCAAGGATTTTATTTTACTTGAATACACAATCAACACTTACGGAAGCAGCAGTCAAGAAATCAAATGGCATATGGCATTGGGTCAAATCTACTGCAAAAGTGCTAAACATGAGAGATGTTATTTTGAGGACTAAAGTGTGCCTGATTCAAGCCATGGTATTTTTAATTGCTTCCTGTGCATGTAAAAGCTTGACAATGAATAAAGAAGACTGTCCTTCTATTATTTTGATTTCAAAAAAGTTAAGAATTTGTTCCTCTGAAAGAGTGGTTGGGAAAACATGTTAAGAAAAAAGAAAAAAAAAAAAAGCATTATCTGTAAAAGTTGGGACTAGAATCAGTTGCTGTTCTTAGGAACTGTATGTATGTATACGAGAACAAAACAGACAATGTTTCACTGCTATTCGTATGCTTTTTACTGGCCAATTTCTTCAAAAGTAGTTTGCCAGGTTCTTCTTCCCAGTCTAAAGCTGAAATCTGCCCACCATGACCCTGCTGGTATTTGAAATACTGGTGGCATAGCTTCCAGGAGCACAGCAACAAAAAGGCTGCCACAGTATAGCAAACTGACAGGTAAGTGTTGAAAAACAAAACAAAAAAACCAAGCATGATGTCCTTCTTCAGGGACAGGTCTCTCCTGATAAAATGTCTTAGTATGAGAGATGGTCTGGCCATCTGGCTTCTAAGGAGCATTATGATAATAATTCTTCCAAAACAGATGTTTATTCTTCCGGCAGTCCATGACACCTTTAATA